TAAAACACTTCATCAATGGCAGCCAATTGTTTACTACACAGTACTTCGAAAATTTTATCATCAGATTAACTTTAAAGTTTATTTTACAAAAGAAAAATACCAAATAAAATAAAAGCTAGGTTTCCTGGCATTTAAAAGCATTGCCAAAGTTACAACTCCACAAATGAACCACTGAGCTAAGTAGTGTAGGTTCCAACCTGTCAGTTTCTTAAGTAAAAGGACTTCTTCCAACTGCAATTAACATATTTGATACAAAGAGAACATGTTTCTACTACAAATACATTTAAGATTTGATGTTTTACAGAGTAACTAATGTAGTTCTTTCCAACCAGAAAAAAATTTTTTTCCAGGATAAGGTATATTCTGATTTATAATTTAACAGAAATACAAGAAATATGAAAATACAAAATATATACATATTTATAACAATACCAGCTGTATGACAGTGCCACCTTTGGCTCCTGGTTTTATTTACTGAGAAGTTTGGAAAATTGTAAGGTAAATGGAAGTGATCAGGATTTTTCTACCCTCTCACCATTAGCATCAACGATCAACAGCTGTGGTCTTATACGCAAGCCCAATGGGCGCACCTGAGCCCAGAGACTGAGCCTTTAAGGGCGGCATCACAGAGGACATGGCGTGGCAGCAGAGGACCGTGCAGTAGAGGCCAGTGGAGAGACGAGAGAGCGCCAGAGTCCAGAAAGAGTAAAGATTCACTGGGGGTTGGGGGGCTAGGAGGCCTGCCAGCCTGCCCCCCACCTGGTTGCCTCACTATAAATGGTGTAGAAAGATCATTAAAAGCTTGAAACAAGCCACTGAAGGCTCCAGGGCTCCTCCTTTACCCATCTTCCCAGATAACCTACTCTGTGCCTTGCTGGCGCTACACAAGTGAACATACATTTGTATTTCTACTCATATGGTTGCCCCCAAACACTGGCTCAAGACAACTATTAATTCTGAGTCTGTGAGACAGAAGTCAAAAAAACATAGTGAATAGATGAGTAGACATTTTCTCATTAATATCTGATAAGACAAGAATTAAAATATAAACACTAAAACATTTTTTAAAAAGTGATGTTGTACTATTAATGGTTAAACAGAAGTTTTTGGTTAACTCTTGTGTTTCTAAAAGTAAAAACACATAATTCCTGGTATAACCTTAGTATGAACCTTAAGAAACCTGCAGTAGCCCAGGCCCTCCAGCTAATCATGTGTGATAGGGAACAAGTCAATTCACCTCTCAGCCTTAGCTCTGTTACCCATAAAAGGTATGAGTCTCAGAACTAGTTAGTATTTGAATTCTTTATCAGAAAGAAATAAACCTCAACCCCCAATGGCTGAATCTGTTAACAATATTTAAGACCCATTCTGACCCATTCCAATTCTTTATCATCTTTCTTCAAAAAACATAACAACATTACACATCTCCAATAGGAAGTAGGGGTGAAAAAAGGAGAGGATTTTTAAAGGGAATAGAAACTAGGTTGGTTTTGTTAATTAGGTTCCCTCTCTGAAACCACTAACCAGTATTAGCATCTGCTGAAATGTACTCCAGTAGAAAAAAAGTGGTTGATTTCACCATCTCAAGACATATTCTCATTAAATGGTCTAAGTCAGTGTCTAGGAATATACTATTCCTAAAATAGTATACCTAAGGGAGGTGAGGAAGCAAGCAAAAGAGCTGGACACTGATGGCATGAGCCCACTGCCTTCAAGGAGAAACAAAACTGTTTCATGATGCATTCAGGAAGGAGAGCAATGACAGGCACCTGGAGCTGCCAGCATCAGGAAGCACACCTTATAGGTAAATTGTCATGTGTCAGCAGCTGCTGGGAATTGAACAGAATGAGATACTTTGTTTGACAGCATGTGTTTTCTTTATGAGTGATTTCACTCACCTCCATTCTCTTAACAGCTATTTATTGCATGTTTACTAAATGCAAACCCCAAAGCTGGAAGGAAAAAAAACAAAAAAACAAAAAACCTCTGTAGGAGTTGACTGGAAAACTCAAGTAAATCTTGACATGTATTTTAGAGCAGTTCAGCCCTTCAGAATATTTCCAAGTTAAATAGTAACACTAAACCTAAACAATAGAGAAGCTAAGCTAAAGTGCCCCTGGAATTTCCTTTCACTTCATTAAGTGGTATGTGGTCTAGGAGAGAGGGGAGTAATTACAAGTGAAAGAGATAATTAGCTAAATCCTTTAGTTAACACAAGATAAAAAGCTTTCTTTCCCCTGGAGAAAATGATAACATTGGATTACAAATACATTAATAGCATCATAGGATGTTAAAATGAGAAAAAGTTCATTTCATAGGAACCTCTTGTTTTATACGTGGGGGACTTGCGGGTCACAGGTGATATGATTTGACTCAAGTCATACAGTCAAATGTAGTCCCAGAACTAGAGTCCAGATCACCAGTCAATGCCCAACAAGTTGCCATACCCACAATGTGCCCTTGTAATCAAAATGGAACAACAGCATACTCCACAAAGCAATGCACCAGGCATTGGAGTTCTGAGTTCAAGTTTTGTCAACTCAAGGAGGGTAAACATGATAACACAGAGAACCGCCACCATTTGTCTAAACCTTAGTTTCTTCATCTGCAAAATGTGAACAGTAATCCACAGCGAGTGTGAGCAGACCACAATAAATGAAGCACTCTGGCCACTGGAAACACGGGAATACAGAAGCAGCACTATTACCACAAAGAACTCTGCTGTGATTCCAATTCCAGCCACCTTGACAAGTCCCTGTACCTGTGAGCCTTGTGCTCCTCCAGTGAATATGTGGTTCACCATCTTTGCCCTGTCTCTTTCAGAAATGGTCAGAATTTAGTAACAACACTGGAAAACATTTACAAATAGCAAGTTATTGATACAAATGTAAGGCATTACTACTAAATCCCTTTAGTCTTAATTTGCACAAAAATGTATTGTGGTTTTATCACTCAGTGCTTAATGCTTTTCTTCTCAACTATGATATTATACAACAGCTTCAGACTTAGCAGCTTCCGCAGGGGTCCCCCTAAGCCTCCACTAGCCACAAAAAGCTCCACTTCCCTTGGCTCAGAGATCATGCATGATGCTTGCTCAACTTCCCACCGACGTGGGCTTGGCTGAGAACACTTTCCCTCCACCCTCTGCCAGGACCTCCTTTCAGTTGGGAAAAGCCTCCATGAACACTATTTTACTTCACATCAGAGTTATTATGAAACCAACCCTTCTGCTCTCCGCCACTTAAACAATTGCGGAACACTTCAGCCTCTCCATGGAACAAGAAAGAAGTCTGGGTGATGTTTTTCAGCAGAGGGATACCAGGGGGTCCCAAAACCCACGGTCAGATACTGTTGGGGTCTCCTTGTTTGCAGGAGACTAAGGCATTCTGAGGTTCCACCAGTCTCTATGTGCCATTCATCTTAAAGCCAGGGCCCTGGGCAGGCTGAGATGCCCTAGAAAGATATTGGTGATGGGGTGGGGGAAGTATTTTTGCTCTAGAATATTACCTTTTAAAAAAATAAGGCAACTAGCATTGCCTTATTCAGAGCCCTGGTTTCCATAGATGAGAAGAAATCTATCAACCCATCCAAACAACTTCTCTGGAACAGGTTTCTACCCAAACATGTTGGGCGCCAGAGACAAGTGAGCTGGGGGATAAGACATGACAACATGCTTATCTGCATAGATGAGAGATAATATTGTGTCTTCTGTTTTGGCGACTGCTGGCACCCGCATGGCAAACCAAACCCTGGCATTCTCTGTCTCGGTAGCCCCCACACGCCCACCCTCTGCCCCGACTGGTTGAGGCGTCACGTTGGCGGGGCCGGGGAGCGAGGCAGAGGAAATGCAAAAGCGTGTTGCTGCATTTAGGCAGAAACCTTACCGCACCTGTTCAATCAGGCCCCAGAGCCAGAAATGACCAGAACACCGACTCAGAAGCCCTGCTTGATATCTCAGGGCGCCTAGTAAGTTCGCCGCCGTTCTAATACCCGGAGGCGGTGGGCGCTCTCTCCCTATGCTGCCAAACTCAGTCGGTTCCCCAGAACAGGGCAGGGGGCTCCTGCTTAAGTGAAGCCAGAGTGAACCCTGAGTGTCACCGCTGCGGTCGCAGGGATCTGGATGGCGCGAGGGTGGGTGCCCGCGGAGAGCGCGCAACCGTGGTCCCGGCAGAACCAAGGTCCCGCTTGGGTGGCCACCAGCGCCGCGCGAACAAAGTGGGCGCGTGGGGAGACCGCCGGGATTCATCAGAGACACAGACCTCGCCAGCCGGAGCCCAGTAGGAGCGTCTAGGGAGGAGGGGCCGGGGACGCGCAGGAAACTTACCTCACCCGGGCAGCATTCGGGCGCCTCCGCTGTCGAGACCAGTTGCGCCACAGTCTGCAAGTTATCGGGACGTTGTCGCTTCCACCCGGCGAAGGGAGAGCTGTGCAGGCAAGGGGCGGGAGGGCTGGCGGGGCGGGGTCGGGACCGGGGCGCAGCGCCCAGAGCGGGCAGGTGCCGGGGCGGGAGCCGCGGGGCCAAACTCGCCCGGGACGCGCCTCGGCGGGGGCGCGCGGCTGCAAGTGTGCAATGCGCGCGCGCCGCGGCGAGTCTCTGTGTCCCCGCGTTCCCCTCCCTTCCCCGCCAGTCCTCCGGCCAGACTGAGCAGCGACGGCCGCTAGAGCCCTGCAGCTCGCAGCGGCTCCACCGCCTGGCACAGCCCCGCCGCGCGGGGTCCGGGGGTCGCAGGCAGAGAAGCAGCGGCGTCCCGGGGCTCGGGCGCCGAAGACCGCGCAGTGCGCGCCGGGTCCCTGCTAGGCTCGGAGAGAGCAGGCTGCGCGGCGGCTGCCGCGGCTCGGGAAGCTGCAGCCCCGCCCGCTGGCCGCCTAGGCTCTTCCCCTTTTCTCTCCACCCCCTGTCTCCATCCCCGCACGCCCTGCAGGGAAGCCAGACCGGTTTGCAGCAGCCGCGGCGGGAGCCTCAGCCGCAGGCGGACTGGATGCCCGCGTCGGTGCTTGGTGACACGGCGCTCTGTCCCGCGGCTCTGAACCCCGGGTGGAGGGGCACCCTAGATTTGACTAGTTCCTCCGAGGCTCCAGAGCTAGCCAAAGCCTTGCCGGCGGTTACCAAAGGCTTGCAGCCCCGCTAAACTGGGCCGTTTGGAATTGAGTTTCCCTTGAAGTCTGCAACGCCTGGTCGCCTGCCCGCTGCACTCTTCTGGCGGCGAAGCCCGCACTTAAAGCACGGGTGCCCCTTCAGCAGGAAGGGACAGAATAGGATTGCAAGGCGACGGTGTCTCCCCTAAGGACAGCAGGTGTTCCCAGGAAGTGAGACCTACCCAACAGGTAGGGCTTGGGGAGGGGGTCCTAGGAGAGAGAAAACTCGAGGGCCATCAAGAGGAAAGGGCTGTGATGGAGTGGGGGGTACATTCTACTGATGGCGATAAGTGGGCGTCGGGTGTATCATCTCACCTGATGCCAGTCTAATTGTGGAAGGGTAGGGGCCAGATCTAAAGGACTCTGGGGGAATAAAGCGAGTGGAATGGAAGCAATAGCTAAATGTACTTAACAGGAATCGAAAAGGTAATGGATCTTTCCCAGCTGAATGAAACAAGTAGTATTCTCAAGCTCATCACTTCCTCCACCGTAACAAGCACTGATAGAATGAATACTTCTGCCCAAGGAAGACCAGCATTTCTTCAGATGTCCTTGGCTTGTTGGGCCAAATGCATTTTTGTTTGTGAGGCTAATCCCTTTGTTCTTCTCAGCAAATGAACAGGCTTTGCTTTTCAGTTTTCAAATCTTTGTACCTCCTCCACCTGAAGTTTGTTATGGTTTAGTATCAGCTCAGAATGGAGTGCAGTAAGTCCTTGTTAACACAGCTGTCTATAATTCTTAGGCTTATTTTTCAGCCTGCTTCATTCGGATGTGCCTGGTCATTACTGGGACTTCTGGGGAGTCACTTGTTTAGGACCCTGTGACCTGTAGCCAGTTGTTTCCTGCATTCTAGACTCATTGAAATGCAGAGCAGGTACACATATTTATCCATCACAAAGATATTAAGTGACCCAAGGGCCCCGTCAGTTTACTTGACTCCCAATTCCTGAAAAATTACAGAAATATTGGATTAACCAAGTTCAAGACAGGTTAATAGAGGGAGTGATGGAGGTGGGGGGTAGAAGGAACCCTTCATCTTCCCGATATAAATCACTGTGTAGGGGGCAGCATGGCACCACTCTAAGTAGCAGGCTGCCTGGGCAGTGGGACTGGTGATCCCTGATTCCTTTACTCTGCTGCTCTCAGCTGTCTGCTCTGAAATCCAAGGAGTGGAAAATGAATCTGCGAGTGAAAGTGCAGAGTCAGTTCTCTGTATTCGCTGGGAATGCAGAGAAGGTGAAAACAGGTAAAACCAAAGTGAAATCACAATGGATCAGAGGTGGTCACACACGTTACATACAAACGCACTTATATGTGTGTGCACACAGCCCTCCCTTTCCATTAAGATCCTGATTGATTCCCTTCTGTAAAGCACAGATGCAAACTACTCAAGGTTTCCAGACAGAAGTCACAAAGCTGAATGCCCACTGGTTATTTAGAGAGCTAACTCTATTAAATAGCATTCTAAGAAACTCTACCAAGAGCCTTAAGATCATCATTACATGAATTAATTAATGGCATAAGCGGCAATACAATGTGAGACCTGATATTCCTAATTATATCTCTCAGTGACTTGGCCAGAAAACCTTGAAACATTTAAAAATGAGAAGACGCTCCTCTGTTTTACTTAATTTCAAATGTAACTTCTCCAACTGAGTGTAGTAGATATTAAATGCTATTTGCACTCCCCTTGTTATGAGAGACATGCATAGATTCCTTGTAGTAAATTTGATAGCATTAGTAGCCCTGCTCAATGACTTCCCATTATCTGGTTCCTTTCCCTCTAACTTTGTAGTCCTACCCCACTCTAGAATCACCCATATGATTTACTTTGGTAAATGGAAAGCAAACTTGATAGTAAATGAAGTCTTGCAAAGTGTTTGTGCAATGATGAGGTAGCACTACACACCTATTAGAATTTCCAAAATCCAGAACACTGACAAACCAGATGCTGATGAGGATATGGAGCAATAGGAACTGTTATTTGTTGCTTGTAGGAATGCAAAGTAGTACAGCCACAATGAAAAGCAGCTTGACAAACACACAGTCCAGTAATCACTTTACCCAAGGGAATTAAACTTATTTCCACTCAAAACCCTGCACATGGAAGTTTACAGCAACTTTATTCATAATTGTTAAAAAAAATAGAAGCAATCAAGATGTCCTTTCAGTGGGTGAATGGATAAACTGTGGTACACCCAGACAATGGAATATTGCTCAGTACTAAAAAGAGATGAGCTATCAAGTCTGGAAAGACATTACTCAAAGAGGCCAGTGTGAAAAGGCTACTTGTATGATCCCAACTACATGACATTCTGAAAAAAAGCAAAGCTACAGAGCTACTGAAAAGATCAGTGGTTACGAGGAGTTGGAGGGAGGGAGTAATGAATAGGGAGAACAGAAAGGATTTTCTGGGCAGTGAAAATATATGATATTATCATGAAAGGTAGGTGTCATTTCACATTGGTCCAAACCCATTGAACACACAACACCAAGAATGAGCAGTGAAATTAACTATTTGGGATGATAATGGTATGTTCATGTAGTTTCATAAGTTGTAACAAATATACTGGTTTTGTGGGGGATATTAATAATGGGGAAGGCTGATGCTTATGTCCAAGCAGGGGGTATATGGAAAATCTCTGTACCCTCCTCTTTATGTTGCTGTGAACTTAATACTACTCTAAAAATAAAGTCTGTTTTTTAAAAAAAGTTTGTTCATTTCTGCTTTCTTTCTTGGAATTCTGCCATGACCAGGAGAACAAGCCTACTGGAGGAGGCAAGACCCTTTAGAACAGAGCTGAGTCATCACAACTGAAGCCATCCAGACCAGCCAGACCTCAGCTCACTGCAGAGGTAAGCAAGTCCCAGCGAGATTGTTCATGCTTGGTTCCAATCATCAGAATCATGCACCTAACTCATGCATTAATGAGAATAATAAACCTACCTGTCCCTCCTTCCTAGGAGTCCTAGTGGCTGCTTCCTCACCCCAGCTTTGTCCCTGCAACAGTGAAGTGTATTCTCTCTTGGCTTCAGACTCCTGGTCAGTATCATGAATATTAGATGAAAGGCTATGTGAGGTCACTTATAACCTACAGTCTATGATTTCTTAGATACCTGCTGCAACACTTTCAGTGGAGGGATTTTAATTGAATAGGAAGGGCTCAGAACCCTCTAGAAGAGGTACGCATGTACTGCAGCCCTCCCCAAGCAATTCCCAATACCTCAGTACTTTCCCCCTAAGTTTTCCTTAAATTAAAAAAAAAAAAAAAAAACCATGCAACTCTACCAGCCACAAGCTTGAAGGTTGATATTATCTTAACTCTCCTCAAGGCTTGCTGATGTTTACATTCGTCAGACAGAAACAAAATGAAAACTGGAAGCCCAGGGTTAATAGACATATATGTCTGAACCTAAAAAGTTTTCCAACATACCCGATAACTCACCAAAGAAAAATAGAAAATAGCTAAGAAAGATTTCCCTAGAAAATTCATACAAAAATACAAAATTACATGCATGGAGATTGTAACCTTATGAAAAAAAATAAGCACAAGAACAATCCTGAAAGAGAACTCTGAAATATGAAAATCTTGTGCTAGGATGGAGGAATTCTAAGACTTAAAAAAGCTTGATGTTTTCACATTTTAAAATGTGATATGTTATTAAAACTAGTTTATTTTCCACTAGCCTGTAAGATCTGTTAGTATAAATTCCAGTTACTCCTTTTCTTTTCAATCTCCTTTTCTGTTACAGACTCGTGTGCAATACCTCTTCTAACTGTATTTTCCTAGAAGTCTCAAAAACAACATAAAAGTGTTTGACTTGAACAAGAAATGAGAGAATACCACACTGGAGAGGAGGGAAAGAAGGGGGAAAAGTAGAGAACTGGTAGGCTAACACAGAGAACCAAGCTGCATGTTCGAAAACATCCAAAAGGCAGGCAAAATTTGTGCAAACATTTTGTATAACAAGTCTGAACTTGGGTTTTAAGGACCTTGAAAATCCAAGTCTTCAAAAGAGAGAAAGAACCCCCTCTTTGGTTGGAGAGGCCAGTTTACAAGTTTGAAGTGGGGGAAGGTGACAGAAATAAGCCAGCAGTATTCCTCAAAAGTTCACAAAATCTGTTGCAATCATTATACCCTAAGGAACAGTCCAAATAATTTACCTAAAGTCACAAAAAATCCAGCTATGGAACCAGGAATAAAACCCAGGGCTGCCGTCCCAGCTGCAGAACAGGAGGTGAGGAGCAGATGGACCCTGCCTTCTTTATGACTAATCATAGGTTTTTTTCATGTCCAAACCATCTAAGTACTATGTGAAATACTCAGTTTGATTCACATTGCCTTGAAACACTGAAACTTTGTATTGTCGATAGTGAACATATTTGACACCAAATGAGTCAAAATAAAAAGATTGCCAGGTCTAGAACTTCTAGAAAAAGGGAAGACTGAAAAATGGAAAGGTAATGGAGCTAACAAAGACACTCAAGCTTCTTAAATAGAGACAATAGCTGTCTACCCAGTGTGTTGGCATAGCTAACACCTGTCTGTAGTCACTTCAGGAAGTGCTCAGCTCCTCACAGTGAGAGATTACTATGCACCCTATTTGAATGGAACTTTCCTGGGGCCAAGACTTGTAGTTTATCAGCTTCGTTTTTGGATGAAATGTGGTGCACAGGATTCTAATGATAATAAATCCTTTTAGAAGTGAATATTAACTTTAGGCAACCAGTTGAAATCAACCAACTTCAAGCGCGGATGAAGATTTCTCAAATTGTCTGTGACATCTCACCATGTAAATACACCAGGAAGAGACCATTGATTTTTGCTTTTATCTCTCAAAAAAAATCTACTGACTTTCCTGCCTGGGAACCACTTTGGCAGACTCTTATTAGCGAATATCTCCTCTTGGCAGTATTAGAATATGGATGCTTTGCTAGCAAAATGGAGTTCTTATTCTGACACCCCTTTAAAGCTGTTGTCTATAAGCTATCATAACAACCTATAATATTTTTCTGGGTTGAGCAATGGTAAAAAGGCATGTGTTCATCAGGATGTGCAAACTTACATAACATGCAATCCTTAAACTGTAGTGAATTAGTACAATAAAGATTCGTTTTTAGTTCATGTCTCTGGTGGACATGGTTTAAGGGTGGAGTTGGCTTCTTACATTCAGCCATCCAGAGTCCCTGGCTCTTTCCATCATGTGGCATCATTATCTTCAACAAATCCCTGCTCAAATGGAAGAGAGCATAAGATTTTCAAATGCTAGGTGGGGTAGTGGTGAAGGTCCCATCCACCCACATTCCGCTAGCCAGAACTCAGTCCATGGCTCCGCCTACCAGAAAGAAGCCTGGAAAAATATGTCCAGAGCCTGGGTATTCTCTATCCTATGTGATGGATAAAAGATCAATTGGTTGCCTTAAGTTTATTCTAGCATACTTAAGACTGGGGGCGTAGGAGGAAGAATCTTCAGTAGTCAGATTTTTTTCCTCCCTGCCTTGTATTCTGGTGTTTTTCTTGCATTTTTAGATTGGAAGTAGCCTATTGTATCTGTGATTTGGGCACTGCTACCCTGATATGTTTGTGGACAAACAAGGGGGCATAAAGAGTCAACAACCTACAGAAAACTGAACGCTTGAAACAAATTTAAAAAGAAGTTTCTTCTAAAGTCCTTGCCGAGGAGAGTGCTATTGACTTCATTATCATGTAGAAAATGGTCTGTGCAATAGCTTTCAAAGTTGTTGCAACTGGAAATTTTTTGTTCATCTGATGAATGACATTGATTGATTTGCATATGTTGAATCAGCCTTGCATGAAAGTTATTTGATCATGGTGGATGATTCTTTTAATATGTTGCTGTATTCAGCTTGCTATGATTTTGTTTAAGATTTTTGCATCTATGTTCATCAAGGATATCACTCTATAGTTTTTTTTTTTTCTGTACTGTCCTTGTTTGGTTATGGGATCAGTGTAAGGTTGACCTCACAGAATGTGCTAGGGAGCTTTCCTTCTCTTCGGCTTTTTAAAGTGTTTGACTACCTAATATGGATATTAGGTACTCTTTGAATGTTTGGTAGAAATCACAGGAGAAGCCATCTGGTCCTTGGCTTTAGCTCTTAGGAAGAATTTTATTACTTTTTCAATTTCTGCATTGTGATTAGATGATTGTCTAACCTATTTCCTCCTGGTTCAGTCTTGGAAGGTTGTATGTATCCAAACATTTGTCCACTTCTTCCAGTTTTTTTGCATAGAAGTATTTATTGGAGAGTCTTATGAGTCTTTGTATTTCTGTGGAATCTGTTTTAATTTCCAGTCTTTCATTTCTGATTTTGTGTTTTCTGCATCAAATTAAAAAGTTTTCATACTAGACCATTTCTTGGACAGCTGGCCTTGGGCATCTCCACTTTTTCAGGTCTTGCATAAGACCCAGTCATCAAAACTGATAGGATACAGAGGTCCATGTGGAGGCATAAATATCCTAGAAAGTGCAGAGTTATGAGTTACAGCTAAAACTTTCTGGACATGTTTCATATACTTTTTGATTCTATATTTTTGTTTTATGGGTGGTGCAGTGTTCAAAATTAAGGAATGTAACTTTCAAAATTCCATCCTCTTTAAACTCTTTCAGTTCACTTGCAAATCCTGAAGATTTGTTTTGTTCTCTTTGACTGCAATTTGGATGAGATTAGCTAATTTGGACGATATGGAAGAGCATAGAGCTTCACACTATTATACTATAGCTCATAGTAAAAGGCAAATGTAAAATCTGGAGTCTGAAAATGGAACTTATTTCGCATAGTCACCTCCTGTATCAAAACTAGGGCAAGTGCTGGCTAGGATGACAAGGAAATTCTGGTAGCAAAATGTCAAGTCTGCATCAACCAAGGCCTTTTACTTTGGCTAATTTCCTCCATATATCCAGAGCACTCTGCCCAATGAATACCATGATAATCACTGAAGCATTTTATGGAGCATCTGGATTCATGCCTGTGTATGTACAATAAGTTTTTTATAATCCTTTTAAGAAATTCACATATCCTCATTTGCCTTTTGTTGAAGCTACAGTATCTTGCTGACATCTTTTATGTAGGCATTCCCTGCCTCGGCCCTATTAATAATCCTACTTATAAGCACCTCTTACAGTGTTCTAGACTTTTTCATTCCCCCATCATTGGAATACCAGTTAGGTCTACCAATGGGACAGTTTCTTCCAGTTCTGGCATTTCTAGATCCTCCTGATGGAGACAATATTCCTCCTCAATAACCTTCCTTAAAACCATTCTCTGCTTACCTGATGTTAATAGCATTTGTAATATGGGTTATATATTTGCCCAGGTAGAGGGGAGACAAAAATAGAGGAAAACTAATTAGTCATCCTTTTAGGATCCTGCCAGTATGGAGGAACAGAATTTCTCCAATTCAGGAGGTCCCTGTTGAAAAAGGGGTTTTGTCACTAATAGTATCTATCGAGTTGCCCCTATCTGTTCAGTCTAACCACTGGGAATTGGCAAAGAGGGAAATGTCCTACTCCAGGGCAGTTCCTTTGGTCAAATCATGTGCCTTGACTGGTATGAGAAGCTATTATAGTCCTATCCTGGGGGCGGGGGACAGTGAGGCCTTCAGAGTCTTTGTAGCCTCTCCAGGTGGGATGTTGGCCTCTTGAAAGGAATTCTCCACTGGTGGGTTAAAAAATTTCTAGTAAGTTATGTTCCTCCTCTTCCTGCTCTTCCCTTAAACAGCTATTGGGGAAAGGGAAGGCTGTTCCCTGTTCTTCTTTGTACCAACAAATCAAAATCTAATTCAGAGCGAAACTTAAAGGCACACATATGTGGGAGTTTATCCCATCTGTCTGAT